ACATGTCACATGCTTTGGACCCACCCCAGGGTGGTTTTTAGGTCTCCTCTGCCCTAGTCTGTCCTTCCTTAGAACATTCCACCACATACTGTACCAAACAAACATATTCAAATGTACTCACGTCCCATGTTAAACATATTGCTGTAAAACATTTAAATAATTTAAAAGTTTTTCTTTAAAAATTACTTAGCTACAGATAACTTGTCTAATTTTTTAAAGTAAATTTATTTTATTTATTTATTTTTGACTGCATTGGGTCTTTGTTGCTGTGCGTGGGCTTTCTCTAGTTGTGGCGAGCGGGGGCTACTCCTTGTTGCGGTGCACGGGCTTTAGTAGTTGTGGTGTGTGGGCTCAGTAGTTGTGGCGCACAGGCTTAGTTGCTCCGCGGCATGTGGGATCTTCCCGGACCAGGGCCTGAACCCGTGTCCCCTGCCTGGGCAGGCAGATTCTTAACCACTGTGCCACCGGGGAAGTCCCAACTTGTCTGATTTGTGATTGACTATGTTTTTTTGTTTTTTGTTTTTTTGGGGGGAGCACTAAGTTGCTCATTGGGAGTATTTTTCAAGGTGAGAAAAATCTAGCTCTCAATTTGTTTTCAAATGCAACACCATCTTTATGAGAGTTAAATATTATTATAAAGGAAGTTGATGTAATACTCTGTTGTGCGGACATTTAATTAAACATATTAGTTTTGATTCTGCAGTTTTAAAAAAATCTTGGAGCCAATCATTTAACTTTTAGTGTTCAAAGATGTTTTTGTGGGTCTCTGAAAAACCTGTAGGCCCTAGGTAATTGATCAAATGCCAGGTGCCCCTTCCTGCATCTCAGGGCTCTTAACCCCTTACTCACCTGCATCTTGCACACTTCCCTCTCTGCTGATTCTTCCCAATGCATTTAAATGTGCTCAAACTGCCCTCCAGATAAACCCCAACCCTAGTAAAACCTAGCTTAACAAAATCACCCCAGGGCCCATTGCACTAACCTTTCTAACTCTCTCCTCTCTTCCCCTCCCCACCCAAGGCCAACTGTGGACTTGATTACACTATGTCCACTTCCAGGTGGCCCCTCACCCCCATGGCTCTCAGGGGAAAGACCAAAATCCATACCTTGGCCTATAAACTTTGAGCTGGTGGGGGCTCTGCCACCTCAAGGACTCTGCTAATTGTTCCCCACCCTCCAATTCTCCTCAGACACAAGCTTTCTCCTGCCTCTGGGCCTTTGCCCTTGCTTTGGTGCCCCACGTGGAGCACCCTCTTCCACCTACTTCCTTGCCTCTGTAACTCGTATTTCTCTGGGCACCCTCCCCTGATGTTCCAGAGTCAGTCCCCCTATTACATAGCACTTGGTGCTATTGCCTCCTGATATCTGGCTTTTAATTATTCATAATTTCTCATTCGTTGTCTGTCTCCTCGTATTAGTTTGGTAGGGCTGCCATAACAAAGTATCACAGAGTGGGTGGCTTAAACAACATAAATTAATTTTCTCACATTTCTGGAGGCTAGAAGTCCAAGATCAAGGTACCGGCAGGTTTGTTTTCTTTTGCAGCCTCTCTTCTTGGCTTGCAAATTGCCACCTCTCACTGTATCCTCACATGGCCTTTTCCCTGTGCTTGTGTAACTCTGGGGCCTCTTCCTCTTCTTATAAGGACACCAGCCTTATAAAAGCCTAATCACCCCTTTACAGCCCTTATCTATAAATACTGTTAAGTTCTGAGGCACTGGGGTTTGGGATTTCATCACATGAATTTTGGGAGGACACAAGTCAGCCTATAACATCCAGGGACCCTTCCCAGTGTATCCTGAGTACCACGCGTAGTACCTGACACAAAGTAAGACACAAAAACACATTTTCTAGCTAACCAACTGCCCCGGACTAACTTTGTGACAGTGGCCGGGTTCCTTCTGTTCTCTGCACCTTAGTTGCTTCATCTGTGATATTAGGCGGGAGAAGTTGGTCTCCAAGGACAGTCTGACAGCTGACCAAGCGTCCTTATTTTTTTCAGTGAAATCTTTACCCCTCACCACTAGAGGGCGGTGTTACTGATCGTTGTTTCTTCCTTGGGAATGTGCCTTCAACCCTCTAGCCCCAGGGACGTTAAAGTGGAGGAGCTGAGGCCAAGGATAGCCAGCAGCGAAACTATCAGCTGGGCACTCAGCCCGTCTTGAATTTCAACTCTGCTGCTTCCTGGCTGAGTTATCTTATCCAAAGTTCCCTTGAGAGTGTTAGTTTCCTCTGCTGAGAAATGCGCAATGGAAATGGACAATGCCTAAGCACTGCTAGGTGGAATGCCTTATCTGTGATATTATACGGGGCAGGTTTCCAGAGTTCCAAGTCTAGAGATCCCAAAAATGCAAATGCCCCACCTGCTACTATCCCAGTGACCAAGTTTCAGTCCACTGATGGGTCGTGAGAATGTTGACAGGTCTATCTAGAGAGTGGACCTTTCTAAGGGCTTGTACTGGCCAGAGAGCGCAGATGTCTAGAGGAAGGCAGGTGGGCAGAGTCTGGTTCCACTCTCTGCCCGTCCCCCATGAAGTAGAAATGCAGGATGATTTGGGGCATCCTGGGTGGATGTAAGAGAGATTCTGGTCAATTTCAGAGGCTCCAAGTTTATTAAAGTATGAAGTGCCCAAGGAGGTGCAAAAAGAAAATTCCGAGTCAAAAGTATTTAGAAAATTAGTTTCGGGACTTGCCTGATGGCACAGTGGTTAAGAATCCTCCTGCCCATGCAGGGGACACGGGTTCGAGCCCTGGTCCGGGAAGATCCCACATGCCGCGGAGCAACTAAGCCCGTGCGCCACAACTACTGAGCCCACACGCCTAGAGCCCGTGCTCCACAATAAGAGAAGCCACCCCAATGAGAAGCCTGCGCACCGCAACGAAGAGTAACCCCCACTCGCAGCAACTAGAGAAATCCCATGCACAGCAATGAAGACCCAACAGAGCCCCCCCAAAAATAATAAAATAAATAAATAAATAAATAAAAATTTTTTTTAAAAAAGAAAATTAGTTTCGTGGTAAGTGTATGTTGTAAACGTACATAAAAAGGCAACCAGATTCCCTGGTCAGCCACACACAGAGACCCTTGACTGTTGTCTGCCCCCAGATAAGAACCAACAATCAGATCTCAAAGACCAACCTCCCAAGGATGCTGCCACTCTTGGGGAAATAAAGTGGCTGTGACAATTAAAAGTAGGCTTGGCTAAGAACCAAAACCAGAGGGACTTCCCTGGCGGTCCAGTGCTTAAGACTTCACCTTCCAATGCAGGGGGTGTGGGTTCGATCCCTGGTCGGGGAGCTAAGATCCCACATGCCTCGTGGCCAAAAAACCAAAACATAAAACAGAAGCAATATTGTAACAAATGAAATAAAGACTTTAAAACAAAGAAAGAAAGAAAAAAAAAGAACCAAAACCAGAGTGAGAAAAAAAGCACAGAAAAGGCAGTGGAGGGGAACCTCTATTGCCACAAGAGATCCACCCCCGGAGCTGAGATAAACGGCCTGAGATCAAACAGCTCTGAAGGTGCCCTTCTTGGGTCTCATGGATTCAGCTGCGACTGAATCCTTTTTAGCTATGCAACCAGACCATTTAGAAAAGTAGTTTACTTACAAAGAAGGGTTCGAAGGAAGTCCAGGCTTTAGAAGAATAAGCTCCCTAAATAAAAAATACAACACCCATTTAAAGGGGAAAACCCTGTAAGCTTGCAAAGGCTAAAAGTTTATAGCTAGTCTGCTCTTTGGGGAAAACAGCAATTTTCTCAAACGGCTACTATCTGCCAACATCATGTCACAGCTTCAGACATCAGTATCACAAGAGTCAGGGATAAAGTTGTCTTAGTTAGAGTCAGTAACTTCCAGGAAAGGCTTGAGTTTTCATTAATTTGGGGAAAAGACTGAAACAAGGTTATCCTGTCCTGCAATTTATATAAAGGTGCAAAGTGCTCTTTCCTCCCCTTCTGACTAAGATGTGATGTGTATGCCTTCCTTGTGATGGAGGAGGGCAAGGTGTCAGCTTTGTTCCCACAGAGGGCAAAAATTATGGCATATTTTAAAAGTTGCAAATTTACAAAGTAACACTTTTTTTTTGAGAATCTATTTTAATTAATTAATTAATTTTTGGCAGCATTGGGTCTTCGTTGCTGCGTGCGGGCTTTCTCTAGTTACGGCAAACAGGGGCTACTCTTTGTTGTGGTGTGCCGGCTTCTCTTGTTGTGGAGCACGGGCTCTAGTTGCGTGGGCTTCAGTAGTTGTGGCACACGGACTTATTTGCTCTGCAGCATGTGGGATCTTCCTGGACCAGGGCTTGAACCCGTGTCCCCTGCATTGGCAGGCGGATTCTTAACCACTGTGCCACCAGGGAAGCCCTGAAGTAACACTTTTAACACGAAAAAAAAATCACACTGCAATGTAATTGTGCTATTTATAAGCTAATCACAGAATTTAGAAAAGACTCTAATTACTGGCAAAAAAAGAAGTCTTCAGGAAATGACAGTTGAGCTGGCACCTCTCCAAGTGTCACTTTCCTTAGTGTAAAAGGGAAATAATGTTACGACCACCTTACCTAGCAGAGGCAGGTGCTATTTGCTTCCCCTTTTGGTTCTGCTACTAGTATGAACCCTGCCTAACCCAGCTGTTCCTGGAAGAGGGTCCCTGCTCACTTCATCTCTTCTTAGTCAAAGTGCCTTTGCATCTCTTCAACTTCCCCTCTGTGAAACGGGTTTGAGTGTGTCACTTTACTATGCCACCTCCATCTGCCCTCAGCCTGCCACAGACCCAGGCATAGAATGCTAGTCAAGGGTAGCTTTTCGTCTGGGAGCTGGCAGTTTCCACACGCGGAGCTCTGGCCCTACCAACCTGCAGTGCAGCTAAGATCCTGGGGCTTTCCCGACCATGGACTACAACTCCCAGCATGCACCGAGCCACACCCCCGCCAAATCTCGCGTGAAATGACTCGGCCTCTGGAGACTTTATCGGGAAAGCTGTGGGTCGGCAGCCTGTGGTCCCTCCCTGTTTGGTGTTTGGGGCCTTCTGTGTCGCCACGGGCACAGCGCCGCTCACACCATGGCTTGGGTCCCGAATGCGCCACAGCCTCTCGAGAGACGTGGGTCCTCGGAGCCTCTTTAGTGCCGGAGGTCGGGCCGCAGGCGGCTCCGCGGCGGCGGAAAAACAGGTAACCAGATGAGCCGGACCGGACCCTCCTTGGGGCTCGGTCCTCCACCGGTAAGGAAGGGCGTGCCCCCGTCCCCTCCACCTAGGCCCTGACCCGGGCCCTCGTGGTGCCTCTCTCCTCTCCCCTTACTCAGGCTCAGATCTTTGCCGGACCGCTCCGTGCATCTCTCGCCCCGCCTTCTGGGGTCCCCCCACCGTGGGGTTTCTCTGTGATGATGCCCCTGCAGACCCGGCACCGGGCTTCGCCTCTACTTTACCAGGCCGGCCTTGTCCTGAACCCCCCATTTCTCGCCCTTACCTCCCAAGCCTCCTACTTGCCTTGCCCCGGGGAACTTTCGGCTTGTGCCAGGCCCTGGCCCTAATCGCCTTAATCTTTCTTAGCCTCGCCGGGTGGAAGAGGCGGTTCAGCCAGGCGTTTCACATCCTGGTGGCATTGCCCTGTATCTTATGAAGGAGAAGTCAGAGCTCTGCGTGGAGGGGGGAGGGGACGGGCACTGGGAAGTGGGAGGGGAGGTGTCGGGTCGGAATGCTGCCTGGACCTCGAGGATGGCCGACTTTGGTTTCAGCGATGCTCTTTAATGAGGAACTAACGATTTTGCCTTCTGAGCTTCATCAGGATAGAGGGAGGAGTGTAGCAAGCTGAAAAGCAAGTAACTTGGCTTTCTCGGAGCTTTGTTTGAACTCCCCTGTAAAACGGAGATGAAACTACCTGCCTTACAGATGGGCCACTTGTCTGTAACCTTGGACAAATCACTTCTGCTTTTTAGTTTCCTTTTCTTTAAATTGGGGGTAAACAATGCCTGCTTTGCAAGGGTTGCTGCAAGGGTTAAAACACAAGATAAGTGTTGTATAAAACCCTTATGAATATCAGTCAGTACTAGCAGCAAGGAATGAATTTACCCACTATGGTTCCCTAATCCCTTGCTGTGGGTCAGGTTATTTGGACCCTGAGCCCTAACTTATTTAAAAACGAAATAAGTATAGTATCTCTCGCAAGGTTGTTACAGGAAATACATGAAAGTACAGGAAGGTGTTTGGCAGACTCTGAAGGGCTGTGCCAATGCTGGTTGTTTGTTGTTCTCAGAACCTCTGGAATGGATGGACTCTTCCCAAGCAGCTTTGCTAACTTGCAGCAGCTGAGCAGTGTTCCTCATTAATATCTGTCTGTCAGCATAATCGTCACATCATTTCACTCTGGTAAGGTGACCTTTTCACTGTGTATGGTGTCTTTGTCATATCACAGGTGTTAAGATCAGTGACAGGTACAGTGAGACCTTTGACTTTATCCTTTTTTTTCTCCCTCGGCATGTTTGTCCCTCTTTTGTGTGTGTTTCAACCTTGTAACCAAGCCATAAAACTCTGTGTGCTTGTCAGAAGAACAGCATTGGAGCTATTCTTTGGTGTTCACTGTAAGAAAATGCCCTTTGTCGTTTTTATTAGGTGGCAGGGACTCAGCTCTGAATTCTGTATAGAAAAAGCACCTGGATCCCAGTCTTTCAATGGCTTCGAGACAACCAGAAGTGCCTGGTAAACTTAATTCTTTTTGGTAAAGTTATGTTTTGCCCTTAACATTTTGAGCTAGACAGAAACTGCTTTTTCTGAACCACATATTAATAGTAACTCTCTGCCACCAGGAGAGTATTTAGACTTAATAGATTGGCATCATTTAAATATTATCTTATTAACCACCCAGCCAGGGTGTGAACCCAAAAATCTAACTTGAAAGAAAACAGTTATTTCACTTAGGGGTATGACAGATTTGTCACTTTCCTATGTATCAAATAAAAATTTAGAATAAGCTGCGTAGTTCTTAAACCGGAATGATTAAACTCACCCCCTTTTTTTGTGAGGAGATAGGAGGGTGGGAGGAATGAAAGTTTGGGCAAAAAGGCACCAGCCTGATTTCAAGACACATTGAACTTAGTCATGAAAATGCTCACTGCAACATTTAGTGAGTCCTGGGTCTATACAGGGTTATAATTTCTGGGTTAGTGAAGTCATTGATTCCTCCTTGGACTGTTTTAGTGGGAAGGGCTAGTGATTTTTAAAATCTGAATCACTCAATTTTTGATTCTCAGTAAAGTATAGATGATAGTGCCTGTCTCTCAGGTTTGCTGTGAAGATCAAACATAAAATACATGAAAATGTGAGTTAAAGATGAATATACATTTACTGCCCAGAAAATTTTTTGGTCTCTATTTGTGGGAATTTATCTCCTAGTAAATATTAACCGACTTTATTATTATTCTTAGGAAGTCTATTGGGATGGCTCTTGGGATGAGTCTTTAAGATGTTTCTGAAATTGCTCCCAAATTAAGTGGAGTCATAGGAGTCTCCCTTGTGTTTCCCGATAAGGATCCATCTCTAGTCTCTAACTTCATCAACTTGTGTTTTAGTTTGTCTTTCATTGTCGTTGTGATGACTGTAAACTCCCTGTAAGCATCCTGGCCGCAGGGTTGCATGCATTAGGTTAATGCTTGTAGTGTGGGGAGCATGGAGTGTTTCGTGGTGGGTGTGAGAGCTGGCTGAGATCTGTGTTCCAGCCCCCACCTCACACTTGCTAGTGGGGTGTTGCTTAAGATCTATGCCTCAGTTTCCTGAGCTGGAAAAGGGGAAGAATAACTGCTTAATGAGGATTAGGAAAGATGAGGGATGTAAGTTCCTGGCAAGGAAGGGTACTTGGTAATTATTATTTACTTGTGTGTTTGTTTTAATTGAGATAATTCACATACCATACAATTCAGCCATTTAAAATGAACAGTATAGTGATTTTTAGTATATTCACAAGGTTGTGCAACCATCACCACTGTCTGATTCCAGAACATCTTCCTCACCCACAAAAGAAAACCTTGTCCCTTTAGTAGTCACTCCTGTGGCTCCTCCCTTCCCCCAGGTCCTGGCAACTACTAATCCTCTTACTGTTTCTATGGATTTGTTAGTAATTGTTATTAATCATAATAATAATGGTAACTGCTTGGCCCTCTTGTTGTTTACATGGAATGTCTTTGCTGGGTTTGGACTTATTGCCAAACAGGTTGATGTCTTGGAGAGTGTGATTGTGTAATTATAGCAATAGGATAATGTCACACTGAAGGCAGGATCTGGACGTTAGTTCTGCTCTGAAAGGGTCAGCAAACAAAATGAACTTTGCTCCCTGATCTGGCAGAGCTGAGTGTGCCCTTGAGGTGGGGAGCCTGCGTCACTGGGGCATTCCGCCAGTCCGTTCCGGTGGACAGGAATGGCAGGATCAGCTGGCAGTGCTTTGTGAGAACCGTTGTCAGTAGTTTCTGTGATGGAAATTGGCTGTGCCATTTAAGTCATATAGAACATTTGAAACTGTTCTAGATGCTGCTGGACAGCATATTATTTGACATATTTCTTGTCATGGTGCTCTTGTTATCTTAGGTGAGGTAGTAAAGACAGGACTTGCCACCTCTGGGCCTTCATTTCCTCATGTATAAACTGGGAACAAGACTTCACGGTTTCTTTTTTTTTTTTTTTTTTGGCCATGAGGCTTGTGGGATTTTAGTTCCCCCAACCAGGGATTGAACCCTGGCCCTCAGCAGTGAAAGCGTGGAGTCCTAACCACTAGACTTCCAGGGAATTCCCAAGACTGCATATCCTCAGTTTTGCCTGAGTTGAGAGTCTTGGGATTGCCACGGGCTTCTGTGGCCTAAACAATACAAGCTTTGAGGGCTTCCCTGGTGGCGCAGTGGTTGAGAGTCCACCTGCCGATACAGGGGACATGGGTTCGTGCCCCGATCCGGGAAGATCCCACATGCCACGAAGCGGCTGGGCCCATGAGCCATGGCCGCTGAGCCTGCACGTCCCGAGCCGCCTGTGCTCCGCAACAGGAGAGGCCACAACAGTGAGAGGCCCGCGTACCGCAAAAAAAAAAAAGAATACAAGCTTGGAAATCAGATTGCTTTGGGTTTTGATTCCTTACTGCACTTTGAAGTTATGTGACCTTGCTCAGGTAAATTGAAATTGAACTTTGGTTTCCTAATCCATAAGAATGGATTAGGGCTGCTGTGTGGGTTAAGTGGAGAATCCAGTGTCAGGCAGAGAGGAAGGAATTTGTAGTTACCTTACCTTGACTGGATTAGCTCTTCCAGAATGAGCTTTTCTTGCTCTGTCCCAGAATAAGAGTGTTTCAGAGCTTTCCTGCCTACAGATTAATTTAAAGCTACTGGTATGTTCAGCTGATGAGCCCATCCTGACAGGTGTGTCTGTTCTTAGCTCTTGAGCCTAGTGGGCCTCTAGGCAAGATGTCCCTGCCCATCGGGATGTACCGCCGGGCATTCAGCTATGATGATGCCCTCGAGGACCCTACGCCCATGACTCCTCCTCCATCGGACATGGGCAGCATCCCCTGGAAGCCAGTGATTCCAGAGCGCAAGTATCAGCACCTCGCCAAGGTATCTGACCCCACTGACTGCCGTTGGCAGGCCCAACCCCTTGGTTCTCCTTCCTCTGCTCCAGAAGCCGTCAGCGGCTCCTGACACCCATAGAATTGGGCAGCCACCAATCCCTATATATGTTATGTTTTCTGTAGAGTTGGTAGGCCTTTTTCCTTTTTAATTCAAAACTAGAACGGCTGTGTCTTCTACCTGAAATACAACCTCCCCATCCCCTCTCCTCCCCATCCTCCCCACCCTCGTTTCCACAGTATTAAATCCAAGCTCCTTAGTCCTGGTCTGGCTCTGCATGGTCCAGGTCCTGTCTGCGCTCCCTCCCCTCCGAATCCACCCCCCACCCCCTGTGATCCAACCATGCAAGTTACCTAAGATTTCTTGTACTTAATAGGGTATTTGATGCCTCTAAGTCTTTGCTTCTCGCTGCTCCGATTGCCTGGAATGTTCACAGTCCCCATCCTATCCTCGTACTTCATCTGCCTGACAAATGGTATCCTTTAAGTCTTAGCTCAACCATCTCTTCTGTGATTCTCCTCTGTCCTCCCAGTAAGACTATCACCCCTTTTGAGGTCTCCAGTGTACTGTGGACCCCTGTTACAATCCCTGTGTTACTTCATTGCCCTCCATTAGCTTCCTGGAGGCAGGGGCCGTGTCCGATTCATACTCCATCTACAGTATCTAGCAGAGGACTTGGCATAAAGTGATTGCAAAAGATGCTCATTGAGTGATTAAAAATTGGCTCTTTCCTGAACATATGCTGTGCTTTTCCTCATGCTGTTCCTCCTGCCTCAGATGCCCTTCCCCACTGCCATCCTATGTGAGAGCTGCCTCCTTTGTAAGGCCCTCCTGACATGCACACACATGCACACACATACCTCGTTACACACTGATCTGCTCTCACAGCCCTTTTGTGCAGTTGGGCTTCATGGGTTCTGACATGCTTGTTGCAGGCTTGTTTCTGAAGCCTGTGCTTCCTGACGGCAGGGACTGTGTCTCTCTCGCCTCTGACTTTCCAACCACCAAGAATGCCAGAAAGGTGGTCCTGTTGCCTGAATAAGCTAGGCCCACCCAGTTCAGATGAATCCTTTTAAGCTGCACCTATAGTTTCGCTGCACTTTGAGCTGTGTGACAGCTAGGTCCTGACAGCAAGTACCAGTAAGCAGCTGTCTAAGCAGACCTGGGTGTGAGCCACCTAACAGTCTGTGCACCAGCTGTGAGCTTGGGCTTCACCCCTGAGCCACAGTGTCTCTGTGTGAGAGATGAAAATACTTTGTCATGGAGGTGCCATGGGGATTAAATAAAAGAGGACTGGAGGGACTTCCCTGGTGGCGCAATGGTTAAGAATCTGCCTGCCATTGCAGCGGACACGGGTTCAAGCCCTGGTTTGGGAAGATCCCACATGCCATGGAGCAACTGAGCCTGTGCGCCACAACTACGGAGCCTGCGCTCTAGAGCCCGAGAGCCACAACTACTGAGCCCACGCACCTAGAGCCCGTGCTCCGCCACAAGAGAAGCCACCGCTATGGGAAGCCCATGCACCACAATGAAGAGTAGCTCCCGCTCGCCGCAGCTAGAGAAAACCCGCGCGCAGCAACGAAGACCCAACGCAGCCAAAAATAAATAAATAAAATAGATAAATTTATTTAAAAAAAAAAAAAGAGGACTGAAAGGCCTGGCACATATTAGGTGTGGAGCTGATGTTGTGACTCCTGGCTCCAGGCTTAGCTTCCCTTGGCAGAGCTGTATGTGATCCTTCCTTTCTAAAGAGTGTAGTGTCCCCCCGCCCCCACATACCATTAAGCTCTCAGAACAGGGCGCTCCTTGCTATGAAAGTGCCCCCTACAGCTCTGGGGGAAGTTCCCTATATCAGTTATCTACTGAAATCTGACCCAGTCAGTTGTTGAGGTGGAAACATTTCGTGTAAAAAGTATTGGCAGTACTAGGGGGAAAGGGCCCCAGCAGCCTGCCTGTGTTGCCAAAGCAGCAGACTCAAGGGACCGGAGCAGAAAAGAAGCAAGGCTCCTGATAGCTCTTGGGAGGGCAGCCCACCACCCTCTTCATTTATGAAGGCTGCTGCTTGCTTCTCTAGGCAAAGAATGGGCTTCCAGTTTTCTGCTGTGTCCCAGCTGGAACAGCTGACAGTTTGGAACAACTGGCCTTTCTAAGGAGAGCTCAACTTGACTCATTACATGCATTCTTTTGTTTGTCCTAACCATCCATGCCCTAGGCATCCGTGCCCCAATCGTCAGCCATCTTCCAAGTGAGAAAGCAGAGGTTCAAGTTTTGCTCGAGTAAGGTCACAGCTGAAGAGTTTAAATCCTGTTTTGTAGATACAACATTTCAATACTTCCTTCTACTCCCCTCCTTTCTGACCATCTTTCTTCTCAATTCCTTTGGAGAAGTAGAGAACAAAGAGTATACCCAGTCCTCTGCTTCCAGTTCGTCCTGAGCACGGTGTCAGGTGTTTAGATTAAGGAAGGCAGCGTGCTCCAGCCCTCATGTTAAAGCTGAGGAGCTACGTAGACTTTCTGGTTTGTTTTAAAAGACTGTTATTGAACCCTTAGAGCAGTGGTCCTCGAAGTGTGGTCTCAGGGACCAACAGCATCAGCATCACTTGGTAATTTGTTAGAAACAAAATTCTTGAGCCCTACCTACTGAATCAGCTCTGGGTTGGGGCCCAGCAGTCTGTTTAACCAGCCCTCCAGGGGATTCTGGTGCTTGGCAAAATTTGAGAACCACTTAGCGAATGCAGTGATTAATTAAGCAAAAGCAGGCATGGTGCTTGGTACACGGTCAATGCTTAGTAATAGTTGTTTCCTCTGTATCCTTAGGGGCATAGTGTGTTTTGGACAGACATAATCTAGAAAGATAATAGAGCTCAGAGCTTCAAATTCTGGCTCTCCCACTTTTATAAATACAGGCTATTCGTATAATGTTATATCTTTTGTCACTATGGATAATACATATCTAATTGGGTGTGGACAACCAAGCCCCCCTTCACATATTTTCTCCTGTATCTGATTACTCCCAGAGGAGTAAGTTGAGGCGTGTGACTCCCTTGTCTGGCTCAGGTGCCTCCTTGCCCCTCTTGAACAGGTGGAGGAAGGAGAGGCCAGCGTCTCATCCCGTGCCCTGCCATCGGCCATTGATGGTGCGGACAAGGTTCCCGTGGTGAAGGCTAAAGCTACCCATGTCATCATGAGTTCTCTGATCACAAGTAAGCACTCTGCGCTCTCAGAACTGGGGGCGGGGAAGAGTTTAGGCTTCCTACAACTAGCTGGGGGGGTTCTGCAGACACACTTGCCTTAACCTGTCCTAACCCAGCCCGGCAGAGGTCAGTCTGGCTGCTGAGTCATCACTAATGTTGAAGCTACATTTAGGTGGAAGACTTCCCCAACGTTAAGCATTTCAGTTGATTTAGGTACACTCCTGCTGCTTCGTTGCTACAGCCTTATTTTCCCATATCCATCAGCGTGACCTTGGGCAAGTTACTTAACTATTGAGGCTGTTTCCTCCTCTGTGAGGTGGGGAATCTGGCCTGCAGGTGGAGGGGAGGATTAGATGGCACCAGTGCTCAGTGGCCGCGAGCGGCTGCTGATACTGTCTCAAGCTCTGCTGGAGAAGGAGACACACTGAGACATCCCCCACCACCCCTGCGCTTATTTTTTTAAATTAAATGGCTCAAAGTTGTTCCTCTTCCTGAATCTTGAGACAAGATTGGTGCCTCAAGTGTCTTTGGTCTTAAGAATGTGTGATTTGTGGTCCTGATAAGACTGGAAACAAAAGAGGTTGAATTCTTTAAAAAAAATCTTACAAGTTAACTAAACTTGTTGGTTCCGGAGGGCCCTTCTAGTTGCTTCTAGTGGGAAGTTAACAATTATTAGATATACAGCTCTGCTTGTCAGCAGCAGCCTCTGCCAGGGGCAGGGCACATAGAGGTTCTCTAGTTGGCTCAGTTTTGATGTCGGAAGCCCTTGTTTATCTGCTCTGGAGGGCATCAGTTAGTCTTGGGCAATTCCTGAAGAACTCACCCAGGAACCAAAAGTCCAAACTCTTACTTGGACTTTTTCTTATTCACACATAAATGCACTGTTTGAATCAGCAACTAATGTTTGTATTTTGCAAGCTTGAGAAGGTGTCCTGGCAGTGTTAGGAAGCTTAGTCATTGTTCTTTTAGAACAGTGTAACTTCTTTATTGAAAATAGAGTTTACTAACAGTATAGAACATTATAGCGCCCCAGTATATATTACTATCACTCAGATACTTATTTGGCTTAGTCATTTCCACATATATGCATATTTTTATATAATTGCAAATATAATAGACAAACCATTCCATCAATATTTTTTCAATTAATATTACAATGAACTTTTCATGTTGCTGTAGTCATAAATTTAAAAAAAAGAGCTGCATTTAAAATCCTGCTATTTTAAATACCAGGTATTGTATTCATTAAATCCTTTCCTGCTTTTAAAATTTTCAAGTGACTAACTGGCAAGACTGGAAAACACATTTATACATTTTGTGTGTGTGTGTGTGTGTGTGTGTGTGTGTGTGTGTGTGTGTATGTTTCCTTTGCTTCTATTTCTGTTGGAAATAAACTAGTCCCTTAGAAGGGGAATGACTAAGTCATAAAGGACATCTGGCATCTGGACTTTTGGTCCTCAGCTGCCACATTCTTGTACATGAGGGTGTATTACATAGTGTGTGTACAGATTAAGCAAAAATTCCACTGTCAGTCATTCCCAGGTGTAACTGACATTGATGACAAGATAATCGGGTCAGACTGCCCTGATAGTGAGTTGAGTCCGCCTGCTGTGCCAGGCACTGTGGTGGGTAGTTTCACACACAGGAAACATTGGATCAGTAGACCTTGGTTAGTTCAAGGCACATTCTCTGGTTTGGATCCAGTTGCTACTTTGGTGCCATCTGTCCTAAATGTGGCCCATTTCTCTTTGGTGAAGATCGTAAAGAGGGTGGTGAGTATCTCTGAGGAAACTTTATATTTGGAGAACTTGCACTGTTTCTGAATGTCAGCTGCCTTCTCCATGTTGTATTTCTGAATACAAAGAAAATGTCCTAGGGTATAAATGAGAGTGTTTCCCTGGAGGTTATCAGGCTGTCCCTTTAGGAGTAACCTGCTCTTTAGCTTGCTGTAAGGGAAGGCTTCTTTCTGCTTAGGCTTCACGTGAGGTTCAGAATTCCTGCCATGATGCCTGTCTGGGAGAACTCTCCTCGGATGGCCAGTGTGTATGCTCTTGCTTCCGGCGAGAACAGTGGATATCTGTGTTCATCTCCCTCAGTTTGTGGTGGGAGAGGGGGATGGGCATGACTGTCATCTCCTCTCTTCCCAGAACAGACCCAGGAGAGCATTCAGCGTTTTGAGCAACAGGCAGGGCTGAGAGATGCTGGCTACACACCCCACAAGGGCCTCACCACCGAGGAGACCAAGTACCTTCGAGTGGCAGAAGCACTCCACGTAAGCATGTCTCTTAGGAACTTTTAAAAAACAAAACCCTCGGGCTTCCCTGGTGGCGCAGTGGTTGAGGGTCCGCCTGCCGATGCAGGGGACACGGGTTCGTGCCCCGGTCCGGGAAGATCCCACATGCCGCGGAGCGGCTGGGCCAGTGAGCCATGGCCGCTGAGCCTGTGCATCCGGAGCCTGTGCTCCGCAACGGGAGAGGCCACAACAGTGAGAGGCCCGCGTACCGCAAAAAAAACAAAAACAAAAACCGAAAAAACAAAACCCTCATCATTCACACCTTGAGGTGTGGCTGTGGTTTTGAAGTTACCAGCTCAGCTAGTTGGGGGTATGGAGAGGTGGAAAGAGGCTTGAGCGAGGAATTTGGAGCAGGTTTAGTCCCCCTTGTGGTCGCACTTTCTAGCTGAAAGCTCCTGGGCTCTTAGCCTGGTAGTTTCTGCTTATCCATCTATAAAACTTACTGTTTCCCTTACTTCTGGTTCGGAGGGTCAGATGAGATTCTGAGCTTACACAGGTGATATGTGTGAGCACGTTATGAGCAACAAAGCCAACGTGGGTCACTGTGTACCAGGGTGATTGACTCTGAGGGCGAGAAATAGGAGTCAGGCAACCTCAACAGAGGTAACACTGGCTAGAAAGGAATGTTATGCTCTATGTTTAGTTTTTTAAAAATTAAAATAAATATAGAATTGGGATGTTTTTGCTTTCATTTTAAAAATTGGAACAAATGGAGAATTTTCAGTAAGGTTAATAATGACCAAATAATTGTATGAATAAAATAAAATAGTTTCAAATGATTTTCTTTCAGGGAATATCACTTTATACTTAATAGTGCTTTTAAGATTTATCAAGCACTCATACTCACTTCATCTTCTTATTAATCCTCTGACATAGATACTATTATCCATGTTTTATAAATGAAGAAACTGAGGTCCAGGGTTATGTATTTAACCAGTCATAGTACCTGAAATCAAGTTTCCTGATGCCCTATTTCCTGTTGGTTTTTCTCCATATTCCAGAGTTGCCTGAGAATCTGGCTCCCGAGGGGCTCACAAGGAGGATCATGATAAACAATACATGGAGGAGGAATAGTTGGGGGTTAGTGGCCTGTGGGCAGGGATATGAGACATTGTGGATGGCTGCGTTTTGTAATGAGCATCCTGGATGATGTTTGCACACTAAACTTAAAACCACTGCTGTGGCGGGTCAGGGTTGGCTTGATGTCCAGCTTAAGCTCTGACAAGACAGATCCTTCCGGAGAGGGGCACTGTCAGCCTTTGGCACTGAGAACTTTCCAGGGTAGGTGTCAGTCTGAATTCCATTTACACAGTTCACCCCATATAATGGTAGAACTGAATCTGGCCCACCTTCTGCATCTTGGCCATAGGAGTAGAACATGAGGATGGCTGAAATGCCAGCTCACGTAACTTCATATGTTGAGTGTTGAGAAAATTCATCACGGTCATTTGTTTGAAGTATAGCCTGGGCTGAGCACTGGTGTACTAGACACGGAGCACGGAGACTATATGGAAGCCTTGACCTAGGAGCAGTGAGAAGTAGGCTTATCTCCCCTGCTAGACTGCTGGTCTGTCTGTTAGATGTCTGTTTACAACGCTGAGGGCAGCCGGAGTGACTGGTTATGGGAAGGAAGGGCTGCACAGAGGGAGCATTTAGCTGGAGGGGTTAGCGGCCGAGTCCTGGTGCTGAGAGGCTGGGGATGGTGGGGTGTGCGCAGTAGCGGCAAAGAGGGCAGTTGAGTAAGGCCCGCCACTGGGGTTCTGGCTCGTCCACTTATTGGTTGGTCAGTGTGGAGAGTCAAAAGCTCTGGTGTGGAATTAGTACAGAGATGTTCGAGATAATGCTGTAGAATGAATACATTTTTTAAAAGATGGAACTCTATCTAGTATGGCAGAATCAAAGGAATATCTTCCTATAATCCAAAACTATTCCACCTCTTAATGTTTCCTTTTGCCTGAAGTTAGTGTGAACCAGGTTATTTATACCCAAACTTAGCTGTTTTGTATTTGCTGTGATTTTTAAAAAGCCTCTCTTCTTACCCATCTGAGCAGAAACTAAAGCTCCAGAGCGGAGAGATAACAAGAGAGGAGAAGCAGCCGGCCTCCACCCAGTCCACCCCAAGCAGCAGCCCCCACTCGTCCCCTAAGCAGAAGCCCAGGTGAGCCCTTCCTGCGACCCCCACCCCCCAGCAGCCATGGGCTAAAGCAAAGCTAGTGCCACGTCCAACACTGTGAGGTCAGCCTGTGGCTTCTGAGCCAGGAGGGGGAGCTGACAGTCCCTAGTCTTGGCGTGGGACACTTCTAGAGGTGTAGGAAGAGGATGTGTTACCATTTCATTCTTTCTCTTCCAGAGGCTGGTTCACTTCTGGTTCTTCCACAGCCTTACCTGGCCCCAATCTTAGCACTATGGATTCTGGAAGCGGGGAAAAAGACAGAAGCTCGGCAGATAAATGGAGTGTCTTTGGACCAAGATCCCTCCAGAAGTCTGATTCGGGTAAGGCTGCCCCTTCACGAAAGAGAGCAGTGTGGCGGGCATTTTACCACGTATGTTGGTAGCTGCTTACTAATTTTGAAATCGTTTGCTCTGTGGTTTACTTCTGTAGGAGGTTTTGCCATCCAGGCCTACAAAGGAGCCCAGAAGCCTTCTCCAATGGAACTGATTCGCACACAAGCCACCCGAATGGCCGAGGATCCAGCAGTGTTCAAGCCACCCAAAATGGACATCCCAGTGATAGAAGGGAAGAAACAGCTGCCGCGGGCCCACAATCTAAAACCGCGGGACTTGAATGTTCTCACACCCACTGGCTTCTAGAGCTCTTTCTGTTCCAGGGACTCTGGATAGAGGTGTCTTGAGCCCAGCTCCCCTTTACCTTGGCTCTGACATAGGAAAAGTTTTGTCTTCTCTTTTTAAAAAACTCTCAAACTGAGGCTAGAGCTGGAGACATAATTGGATTTTGAGAAACATTAGTGCAAAGCTTGTCCTTGTGTGGAAGAAGCCATTTTGTACTGCTTTAATTTAAAGTTAGACTAAACCTCAGCAGTGATGTATGGGGACCTCATTACCTATTTTTGTATCATTTACCCTACACAAGAACTTTGATTATTACTTAATAGGTAAATAATATTTGTGTTGTTCCAAAACCAAGGCTTCTTGATTCCTTTACCACTGTCCATGTGCGCATGGACAGATCATGGCGTAGAGGCATTCACTGACTAGTTTAGACGACTTTGGCTCTTGGCTGTGCTGGCACTGTGTGCTCCAGCCTTGTCAGTTATGGGGACCCAGGATGTGTTTGAGATCTGGGTGTAGTTAAGAGCCAGCCTTGGCAGGGATCCCCTCTGTTTTCTGCTGAAACCAGAATCTCTTTGCTTTTTTGTAGACCTCATGGATCACTTTGTCCTGCAGCCAGTTCTTACTGTAGGGATGCTTCTCTTTTGTGTGTCACAGAACAAACACTAGCCTTACATATCCTTTGTTGCACTTTAAAGTGAGATTAATTTAACTCCCATTTGGTTGAAAACTTCCGAAGGGAGAAAATCCAGTCTACTGGTTTGGTATAGATAAATGGATGTTAAACTTTCTTAAAGGAGGTGGCAACTGCAGTTCGAGTATAGTCTTGCAGTTCATACAAAACTAGTGTCACCCTATTTTGAGTTTCTTGTTCAGGCCAGGGCCTGAAAAATTTTTTTCTGGGTGGTGGAAGAATTAAAAAATTTTCTGTATGCAATCATTTTCCCCCCAAATGAGCCTCATACCTTTATAAACACGTACCTCACTGAGGAAAGGGACGAGGGGAACCATTCATTTCTCCTCACTGTGTACATGTTCAATCACTGTCCTGAACACTGTCTCAAATTCCTG